ACCGGCGGCTGGGCGCGCCGCCGCGGAGGGCCGACGGCGGCTAGGAACCCTAGCTGCCGCCCTCGGGAAGGACTCTGGCCGTTCGCCCGGGAGGGTAAGGCGCTCTCTTCGCTCGTTCGCTCGCTCGCTCGCTCGGCTAGCAAGCATACACGCACGGGGAGAGGGGCAGCTACCAATCAGCCTGGCCAGCCGCCGCACCGCGCCTGGGGAAGGATTCCTTCCGAAGGAAGCAGTCAGCCTGCGCAACCGCCGGCGCCGCCAGTGCGCGAGTGGAGGGAGGTGGAGGCGGAGGCGTGGGTGGACGACCCGAGCGGTTGACTGCGCCAGACGCCGAAATGGACCGCTGCTGCGACTGGTGAATCCATTTCAGGCAGGCGGGGCGCAACTTGGTTGGGTTGGTGGATTCTCCATTTTCGCCCTCCGTCCGATCCCTTGGGATAAGACGGAAATGGGGTCGCTGGGCTCGGGTTCGCTCCGGATGCCCGTCGAGACAGTGGTGCGCCGCGTCCCTTTCCGTGACTCGCCGCAGATTCCCGCAACCGAACGCGAGCGCCTAGCTAGCGATAGCCCCATGCGCTGTCGCTCTGCGAGGTCGCTTTCCGGTTAGCTCACGCCTTTCTGCCCGTGTCCTGTTTTCTGTTCAGTCCACTGGGCAGCGACGGCACGGCAGGCTGGACTTGGACGGATGATGTTATACGGTTTTTTCCCAGTACTACCATCCATAGTTTTGTGGGCCAAGGACATCAGTGGGGAAGCGGCACGGCTTTCTCGGGCTTGATGGTTGGTTTTGGCTCGATGCACGTTTGGAACTGCTGTCCAGCTAGTTTCCGGTGTCAGCTGTTGCGTCCCGACGGTTCCGACCTGGCTCATGCTTTGCGGTGCAGCGGTGGGGCCAGTCTTTTGAAAAGTGATGCGGAACCTGAACATCAAACTGTGTCCGTATACATTTGAATTCAACAAACCGGATGAATTACGTGCAATCGGACGATTTTCATCTAAATCTGAGCACATTCATTACATGACCGGACCTAACTTACTCTAAATCCAAGGTGGTGGTCATCCTCCAAGTCCTTGTTGTTACCCTTCGGTGTTGGTCGTGTACATGGTGGGGATGAGACCTATGAAGTGAAGGTGTGGTCGTCGACGAGAAAGAGTAGGACATGGGACACATAGCGGCCCACTTGGTACTCGAGGCCCCGCCGCCTCCCATCCACTTCAGAGGCCACGACCTGTTTGCCGCTGGTGGACGTGAGGTCGACGATGGGCGTGGATGGGGCAGCACGATAGTCATGCCACTGGCTCCAACGAAGCATCGTTGGCGGCGCGAAGGATGCGTCGGTTCTGTGTCGGATAGCTCGGCAAATGTTCTAATGCATTTCCGAGCAACGACTTTTGAGATTCCTTCGTTCGTAACAATTGTATCGGAACGCCGCTAAGGCCTCCTGGTCACGGCAATCTGAAATTTTCTTTTTTACAAAAAGAAACCGCGTCCAGAATTACCGAACAGTCTCATTTTTCTTTTGTACGACGTAGGCGAGATCCTAGATTTCGCTCGGTCATGAGTTGTCGGATAGGTACTTCAACATGAGGGGTGGGTGTCGTGGTTCTAAGTCTGACAGTAGAAAGGGGGTAGGTATGGAGAGGCAAGATCTTAGCTATGGCGAAGATGTACACACAAGGTTTTACGAGTTCAGGCCCTTCTCGGAGGAAGTAACAGCCCTACGTCTCGGTGCCCGGAGGCGGTCGATTGGATTATGTGTGTTGTGTTACAGGGGGTGCGAACCCTTGTCCCAGAGGAGGGGGGTGGCTTATATAGAGTGCGCCAGGACCCCAGCCCACCTCCATTACAAGGAGCTTAATGTACATAAAGTAAAGGCATTACTGGTAACGGCAGTCTTAAATACTCTTAATGCTCATGAAGACTAAGGAGTGAATGCCCGACCGTTGTGCGTTCTTCCGACTCCTGGTCTTCGATATGGTCGAGTCATTCCCCGTACGGTCGAGTGAAAGTGGGGATCGACGGTCGAGTGATTATACCGTCGAGTGGATTCTTGGTCTTCTTATCTTCTGGAGTAGTGACCTTGGGTAGGACGTATAGGTCAGGCCTATGACCCTACCCCAGGTCTGTATCCTCATCAGTAGCCCCCGAATGAATTAAGGTGCGAGTGCAAAATAGGCTGAAATTGAACTTGTCCTGAGCTTTGGGATCTCGCGAGTGTTTTCTGCAAGTCCGAGCGCCCGCGTCGATGTTTGGTGTCGACTCAGCCGCCTTGATCCATTCATTGGACAGTCGAGTGAATCTGTTGATCTTATGTGCCGAGTGTTGTGTTGGAGAGCGGGGTCGTGGGCGCGATCGTCTGCAGTGTATCCCGGATTCCGCGGGATACGAAATTTCGGGGAAGCGCGTCAGATGGGGAGTGCCAAAGCGGGCGGAGCGGATAAACAGTGATTTCTCGATTCCCGTGCCGCCTTTTTCACCACGTACGCTGCACGCGACTGTTGCGGGATTTGACGGGATCGCCTGGTCCCACGCGTCAGTCACTCGGAAACAATCTCTTATAAGGTGGCCGGACCGAGGCGTCTGTACTGTGCACATCTTCTCTTCCTTCTTCTTTCTCCGCTTCTTCGCCGCACCTTACTCTTCTGCTCCGACGCCGCTGCCCCGTCTCCATGGTGAAGGACAAGACGGCGGCGCTAGAGCATGCAAAGAAGACGAAGGAGGTGGCAAAGGGTAGGCAGCAGCAGCGCGGGTCGTCGTCGCGTGCGAGGCTGCCGCCGGGCTGGATCCAGGGCGATTGGATCCGGTCTTCGATTCGGCAGGCGGACCTGGACGAGCTGGCGGAGTCGGGGTTAATCGCCAAGGGAGCGGCAAGGCTACCGAAGGGGGAGATGGGCCCTCAGCCTCAACCGGGTGAGTGCGTTCTGCTCGCCACCCACGTCGACCGCGGCTTTTCGCTTCCCCCGCACCCTTTCTTCCAGGGGTTTCTGAACTTCTTTGGTGCTCAACTCCACCATTTCTCCCCCAACACCATCACGTATTTAGCTGCTTTCGTGTCGATGTGCGAGAACTTCTTGGGATGTCGACCACACTGGGGTCTTTTCAAGCACATCGTCACCATTCGTTCCCAATCGGTAAAAAAGGCGAAGTCGAGTGACTCGAAAACCCATGTCATCCAGATGTGCGGGGGTTTAGGTATCCAAAAGAGGAAAGGGAGTGCCTTTCCTGCCATGACTCTTCTTGATTCCGTTAGAGGCTGGCAATCGACTTGGTTCTATTGCCAGGATGTCGCGGCTCCAGGTCAGTCGACCGGGCTCCCCCACTTCTCGTTTGACCGAGTCCAGACTCCTGCTCCGCTGAAAGTGACGACTGGAGAGACCATGGAGACGAGGATGTTGGTGGATAGGGTGATTCAGCTTATCAATGATGGTGTTACGGGTCTGGATCTGTTGGAGGTGTTCCTCAGTCGACGCATCCAGCCTCTCCAGGCCCGCGATCACCTGATGTGGCTGTATTCCGGACCGGACGACACCGCTCGGGTCCATCCAGAAGAAGTACCGTCTGCAACAGTAGCTTTGTGGCTGAGGAGCATCACGAGCAATCAGGAAAATCCCAGAGGATCTAGGCGAGTCGTTCCCTTTAGCAGCAGCAACCCACCCGACAAGGTACGCTTTTCGCTCCGACTGCTTCTCATTCATGATCTGACTGCACTTGAGATTGACCGACTCTCGTTCAACCAATTTGTTCCACAAGTGTTCACTGAGATGCATTCGATGCCCAATGGCGAGCAGGCTTTGGAGCAGGCCCAGGAGGGGGAGGACAGCGCGGAAGATAGTGACGAGTGGGATTCTTAGGAAGACGACGACGAGGAGGAGGAAGTCGACTCGCCGCCACGCTCCGAACGTCGATCCAAACAGTAGCATGACCCGGCCAGCGGGCGCGGGAAAGGTGTGGGTCCGAGTGCCAATACTCAGAAGCGCACTCGGACGTCGACTCTGGAGCCGACAGAGAAGGTGACCAAGCAGCCTAAAGTTGCTCCCTCCAAAGCCCGGAAGACACTGCCGCGCATCAAGATGGACGTCCCCGTTGCCTCAGGGTGGGTATCTTGTTTGTGTTTCCGTAAGTCGACTGAAGATTTTCTTGATTTGACCAACCAATCCTTGTGTCTTTCCAGCCCCACCTCTGCTGCCACTGACATGGACGTCGACAAGGCACTAGGAGATGAAGAGGCCACCTCACGAGCTGGTAAGTTCGTTCGACCGAGTTCTGTTTAGTCGAGTGGATGGCCAATTGACTAAAAACTTGACATTTCTCTTCTTATGTAGCTCCACATGATATCGTTGTGCTTCCTGATGACGACGAAGAAGAAGTGCCTCTACAGGAGAGGAGGAAGAAGAGTGGAAGCTCAAGCAGGAAGAAGCTTGAAGTCCAGGT